GTCCGGCATTATTGGCAACCGCGGACAGGCCAACTATGCTGCGGGCAACAGTTTCCAAGACTCGTTTGCGAGGCATCTGAGACGTCAGGGGAAGCATGCCGTGGCTTTGGATCTCGGCCCGGTCTTGGGAGCTGGCATGCTTGCTGAGAATGAGGATATCCTGGATATGCTGCGCTCCAACGGCTTCTTTGGCATTCCGCATGAGGACTTCCTCACTGTTATCAAGCATGCCATTACGGGAGAGATGGCGCCAGGGGAGCCCATTCCGCCACAAATCAACGCGGCCGATCCGTACTGGACTCGCACCGCTCTCTACTCATACCTCAACTTGGTGGATATGGCGCCGCCGGATGTACTCTTGGGGGATGGTGACGGGAGCAGCAGAGACGTGAAGGCCATGCTGGCGACTGCCGCAAGATTCGAGGAGGTCTCGACCATTATCCGCGATGGGCTCTCCATGATGCTGGCCAAGGCGATGAACATGCTGCCCTTTGAGATTGACTTAAACAAGTCGCTCAACGCGTACGGCGTAGATTCGCTGGTGGCTGTCACGATTCGAAACTGGATCCTGAACAACTGCGGCGTGCAGATTTCCGTTTTTGAGATTCTCAGTGACTTGTCCATTGAGGAGATGGCGAGTATGATTGCGGAGAAGGGAGGATATGGAGGAGGCGAGACGGACTAGAGGTTTACAGGGGGGAGGGCCAAACAAGTGGTTGATGAAGCAAATTGTAGTCTGGTCAGCTTGGAATTCCATAGAGGGTGCAAAAATATGGTGTGAAGGGCATGGGAAGCTATGTATGGAGAAAACAAATTTTGGTATTTTGGTTCGGGGGACAAGGAGAACAATAGGCGAGCAAGCTATTCGGATGCAGGGCAATAATTACGAGTTCTCAAGACGACGTATGTACGTAGGCAGGCGCAAAGCTTTACGTTACGGTCTTCTTTGCTTCCTCCGTTTTCTCTTTATTGCATCTCATTTGGAGACCAATTGCAGTGATCGAGTGCAAAAAAAGCAACGAGGAGGATGAAGAGTACAATCGAAGTAGAAGAGAGTGAGAAAAAGGCAAAAAGAAAAGAAAATGCGCTGCGTAATCTGGGAATCGAACCCAGGGC